AGCTGACAGGAAGCTGCAGACAGGAAGCTGACAGGACGTTGACAGGAAGCTGCAGTCAGGAAGCTGACAGGAAGTTGACAGGAAGCTGCAGCTACTTCAGTGCTGTCAAACAGAGTTCAACATTATTTTTTAGATTCTGAATATGAATTCAGTTGTTCAGTAAATGCTGCATCTTCATCAGTAGCCGTTTAGACTGTTCAGGAAAGATGCATTCACAGTTTTTAATAGAAAAATACATGATTTGTATGTTTTGTTTTGCCTGTTCTGACAACATATAAACCTGAGGTATGGACTAAACTGGCTCTTTTTCAGGTACCGTCAGAATAAATAAAGAATAAAAAATAAAGAATAAATAAATATGACAACAGGACAAAATGAAAACAAATATATGGTGCCTTTTCCTATTTGTTGTCATGTACATAAATGTATACAGATAACTTTTGTGTTGGACGTACGTGTTAAACATGACGGAGGGGAAGTCACACTCATTTCCTATAGACTTCTTCGAAATGCTCACGAGCACTGTGTGCAGGCTTCCAGAATGTGGCCAATCACAGCAAAGTGGGCTGCTGTGGGGCAGGGCTTAAAAGACTGGTTCACTAAGAGATGCAACACAACATAAACATGTAGAAGTAAACCTTCTGATCTGTGAATTCTGCACAGTTTCTGTAGTGGAGCCACAACATTTTAAATCTAATAAAAATACAGAGCAGGGCATTAAGGGGGGCGGCTGTGGCTCAGGTGGGGGAGCAAGTCTGTCAATGATTGGAAGGTCGGTCGACACTTCACCACCTGCCTGGTGTGGATGAGTATGAATGGACTGCTGAGGTGGTGGTCGGAGGGCAGAATGGCAGCCAGGCCTCTGTCAGTCTGCCCCGGGGCAGCTGAGGCTACAACCGGAGCGACCACCACCGGGATGAATAACTGAGAGTGAAAAGCGTCTGTGAGTGTCTAGAAAAGCGCTGAATAAATCTGATCTATTACTACGAACATAACAGGTCCCTGCAGTCCATAACAACACAGACAATGGAAAGAAAGAGTTCGTCATACATTCTAATTATTATCTAATACATAAACATTTAAAAAAAACTAAATAAAAATAAATGAATGAAAACACACCACATGCTTCGTCACACATGTGACCAACACGTTTCTAGCAAACTGATTAAAACACGAGGTAAATGCACACACGCTGCTTTAAAGGAATAAGAGAGTCGTTAAATAAAACTACAGCTGGAGACGAACTACGTGGAAACATTGGATTTCCACTGAATGTCTTTTCTCTGGTCAGAACTTCATGGATCTGGATTTGTCTGGACTCACCTCCTTCAGGCGGAGTCCAGGTGGGATCCTCTGAATCCTCCTCCACCGTGACCACTTCCTGCTCCTCCTCCTGTTGGACATCAGGGTCCGGTGACTCACAGCGGCGCCGGCGGCTTCGTTTGGTGGCGTTGGAGCCCTGCCGGGGTGGTCTCCTCTGGGTCCGAGTCCTAGTCTGGCTGGGTTTTGTGGAGGGTTTTACAGCAGGTCGGACGGTTCTGGTTCTGGTTTGGCTGGTGTTGCAGTGCTGGAGCAGAGCGCCCCCGTCTGGTCCATCAGGTCTGACTGCGAAGCACTGTAGCAGCATCGTAGACGAGCCTGCAGACACAGTGGAGTCTATGTAAACAGAGCAGCACCAGAATCAGAACCTGGACTTCATGGTAAAGGCCTGGCATGAACAACTCTACTGCTCGAACCTGGGAAGATGTCCTGGACTTGTTTTGTAACGTCATCACTGAGAGCTTTATTATGCTGATGATGCTAAGTTAATGCTACCATGGAGAGGTTAGCTGTGCCTCTTAGCCTGCAGCACCGTAACACGCTTCTCAAGTCAGATTACATTTCACTCTCTGTTCGCATGAATATTTTAATAATCAAGTATTCCATCGATTATTCTGGCAATTAATCAAGCAATCGGATAAAATTTTATTTCACGGCATGACGTTAGCTGAATTTAATCGTGATCCGTGGCTATTCTGCTCTCCCTGCCCCTGCCGCTTTCGTCTGTTCTGCATTCTGCACTTGGCACCGCGTTACAGCATCAGCAGTGGGAGTGAGCGCTGTGCAACAGCGATGGCTGCTAACTGCATCCCGCTCATGCGGTACATAGTGGATTACACGAAGCCTTGAGGCATCTTAGTCATTGAATGACTCACATTACTCAAGGTATCATTGCAGCCCTAGTTCAAACTGACAGCCTTGTCTCTCTGCAGAGATACAACCTGCAAAAACTGCACAAATCAGGACATTAGCTGCTTTCACAGTGGCTAATGCTATGCTAACAGCTAGCAGCTAAGTTTGCAGGAAGTCACACATTAACTTGAAACTGAGTCTGGAAAACAATAACTAACTATTAAAGCCCTCTGAGAGCTCAGAGCTCCTCCAGCAGCTCATCTCCACCTGGCTGGGATCTCCAGCAGATGTTAAAGTCCTGATTCATTTATCTACACTGTTAGATTCATGGAGGATCAAAACATAGCGTTAGCATTGAGTTAGCATTGATGTCATTAATAACCAGCTGACAGAGTGATGAACGCTCGTTCTGGACTCTACAATATTTGGTATACTGACGTTATTTCTGCAGTTCCCTACTGGCTTTAAGCTGTTAGCTAATGCTATGCTAGGTTAGCATAACTACAGCCATGCTATTGCTAACAGCACAACTTTAGCAACGTAAATGAAAAGCATGACAGACTAACGTCGCACGTGTCTGTCGTCCTGACTCATGGCTGAGAGTTAATGTGAACCAGGAGACCTGCTGAGTCATTGTTATCTTCACTACGCGGTTCTGAACGTATCTGTCGGCAGCTCTGCTCAGCCCACTCCTGTGGTGCTGCCTGGCTGCAGCTTCCTCCTGCACTGCTGAGAAGACAGCGGTGAGGACTGAAGGACCGAATGGAGTCAGAGCTCCATCTAGTGGACAAACGGCGCCATGACAGCAATCTGCACGAGTGTGACACTGAGCAGCATTTACTGCTTTATGAGAAGATAACCACGTGAACTTCACCAGAATGTAATCATCGTGTCATTATCAACATTTCCTGAAAATTACATGAAAGTCCGTTCAGAACTCTTCGAGTTATCTTGCTAACAAACAAACAAACAAACAAACAAACAAACAAACAAACAAACAAACAGATAAACAGTGGCTAAAACACAACTTCCTGGAGGATCTGGACCGCAGTAGGAAACTAGAGAGCCAGAAAAGAGAAGGAAAACAGAAAAACAGCCGACAGAACTGCAGGAAACAAACTGGTATTGATCTCAATCAATCCATTGATCAGCAAACAGCAGAACGTCACGTCGTACACGTTCAGCTACAGTCATTATGTATGAACGACGGCTCCTGCTGTCAGACGCTGTGAAGACAGAACATTTAGTGTGGATCGCCCATTTCCTGATTACCAATAATCGATACTGGCCTTGAAAACACCATATTGATCGATTCCTGCTGTTAACACACTGATCTGTAACAGCTGCTGTATCCGGTACGAACTGCCCCGTGTTTTCTGATATGAGAGCAAACCGGACCTACTGTAGTACCAACAGGACCTACCCACAGTCCACTCTCAGTCCACTGTGATCTGTACAGACAGACATAAGGACTGGTCCAGAACCATCCGAGTGCTGACAGTGAAAACCGATCAGATGAACAATGAAACCCGACTGGGTTCTACGAAAGTCGCTTCTGCTCTGATCACTGCAAACCGACGATCATTTCAGAGACAACCTGATGGATTCATGGAGAAATGACCCAACGAACCAGAAAGGACGAGGACTTCAGCCTGGGTTTGGGTCAGCAGCAGCTCGACTGAACTGTCCAGATCCAGGAGGTTGGACTCTCCTTCAGTCTCTCTGAGGAAACACTGGCTGCAGTTCACCTGAAACTCTCTGAATGTTTCCTGTTGGTCACAGCTGAGTCAGAACCAGGAAGGGGAAGGTTCTGGTTCTACAGAGTCAGAACCAGGAGGAGGAAGGTTATGGTTCCACAAGATCTGCTGGAAATGGTTTATTTCTAAACATGCAGAATGAAGCCGTTCTGATGAACTTTCACGGCTTCAGGCTCAGATCTGGTTCACTTTTTAGAAGCTCCAGGACGGTGGGAGGTTGAAGATCTGCTGATTCTTGGTGCTTTGAGCGCTTCTGGGGGATAAATGGAGTCTTTGGGGGTCTATTTTAAGATACCAAACCTGTGCAGGTGTTGGGTCAGTGTCTGCAGGTGTGACGCCTAAACAGTCACCTGAGTGTCTCCAGCTGAGCTGCTGAGTCAGCAGGTCCACCTGGACGCCAGCGTCCCTCCTCTCGGCCCGGTCGCTCTGACAGCCCACCTCCCGCCTCCTCACGTGGTCCTCCTCAGGACTCTCCCACTGGCAGCCCACCTCCCTCTGCCTCACCTCCTCACCTCCGTCCCCCAGCAGGAGAACGCAGAGCTGCTGTCCAGGAGGCTCCATAGTCACCTGAAACCAGCACAAACACCTGAGTTCACATCAAGCCTCTGACACATTCACACACTTTTCTGACGCTTCAGAGCCAAAACAAAGAATTCAAACAGAAACCGCTCTGAGTGGACCCTGATGGCAGTCAGTACCAGTGGACCCTGATGGCAGTCAGTACCAGTGGACCCTGATGG